AATTATCAAATCTTTTTAAAAGAGGGAGATCCTTTGCTTCGACCTCTATGAGAGCAGCTCATGTGTCCCTAGATTGGTGCTGCTCTCTAGAGTCTTCTCCGTATATCAATACAAATCTAAATTTACATTTTAATAAGCTCTGTCTCTCTTAATTAATTTACAAGAGCCTCCTTTCTAAGCTCTTTTACCCATTTCTTTTAAGGTCAAACTAAGGCTTTCTTTTTCAAAGGGTTTTTTTGATTTTTTTCTCAGCCATACTATGGGCTAATTTTTTCTTTAAATAAATGTATTTCTTCTTCCTTTTAAAAAACTTTTGCTTGTCATATGACACTGCATGACACTTTATGTATAAAAGAGCAGACACTTTCACATTATTTTCTACTTTAATAAAACTAAATCTATTAAAGTTTGTTTTCTTAAGATTTTTAAGATCATTCTTGTTGTTTAAACCGAAGTAGACCTTCGGCTTAAAAGTGTGTTTGACAGATATTGTCCATCCATCATCATTTACCTGGTAAAGTTTTAAGTCCAGTCTTTTGAGTTTTCCTTTTACCAGCTATTATAGCAGAGGTTGTATTTAAGTGCTTTCTCACTGCTCTTTTGTTTATGTAATTTTTATTTTTAATTACATTAGTTTTATTAGAAACATCCTTAATATCTGTTTCTACATTTTTATTAGAAGATTCTCTATCTTCTAAACATATTCTTTTGCAATCTTCTGACAATATATCTTCTTCCTCCTTTCCATTGAAGAAATAATTTATTGAGATTAATTAAAATTTTATTATTTATTATTTCTAAATTAAAAACATCATTTTCTTTAGTAGTTTCATGAAGAGTTTCACTGCTACATATTGTCTGGCATTCAGTTGCAATAACCTTCTTACCTATGTTTTCTTCTAAATGATCTTTTACAATCATTTTAAAATTACTTTCTGGTAATACAATTTCGCCGTTGACGGCATCACTCAACAATTTGTTTTTTTTGTAAATTTTTATTTCACATTTTTGTTCTTCTAGCTTACTACAAAAGAGCTCCAAGTATTTATGTTGAGTTGTGAGTAACTTGTAGAAGCTAAAAATATATTTATTAAGATCTTCTAGATCTTGTTTTTTTTCTTTTCTCGGCCTGTCAAGAAAATCAATTTTATTAATTTTTTCAAAAAGAATTTTAATTTATTAAGAGAATATTGTAATTTTCCTTCTTTCTTGTAAAACACATTTTAACGCCACCATCAGCATAAACATGCTTAATTTTGTCTTTTTAATACATTTCAGGATCTAAATTTTTGTTTTAAGTATCAAAATATACACCTTGCAGACTTCTCTGCTTACTTTTGTTTTGTTTGTTATAATCCTTCATAGATTGTTATACGTTGAATACTTTGCTTGTTTGATCACAAAAGAATTCATTCAACAAACATTTAAAGATGGTCATGCGTTAGCTGTATTATGAAAGCATTGAAATCAAAACATTACAATACATGTGAAAATGTATTTAAAGCATATGGATTAAATCTTAGTTAAAAATGAATAGAAACAATTAGGCAAATTTAAAAAAAAATTCTATTTTTTAATTACGCTACTGCATATTGATTAAATTTTTTAAATAAAAAAAGATGAATTTTAAAGAAAACAACAAAATAAATTTCAATTACTTTAATAAGAATACTAAACAAAAAAAATAAAAAAAAAGCTTAATAAGCTTTATTTACAAAACGGTTTTGTCCTTCAAGAACGGAATGCAACATCGGATAATTTCTCGAGTAAAACTTTAACACTTTTCTCTTCTTCCTCAGTAAGCCCTTTTCCATTTGGGTGCAAGTCATAATTCATTACCTTTCTACATTGATCAACTAATTCCTCGCAAGCTTTATACGTAAAACTAGACCAGTAACTGCTGCTAAATATTTTATTAATAACATCATATAACGTATAAGAAATTTTTCGTAATTTTGTTGTCGCATCTCCATCCACTTTAAGCTTCCATGGTTTTTTTCTTAAATCTCTAAAAAGTTCTTGCAAAAGATTTTCGTAATCCGAGAAAAATGTACTCAAGGATTCTTTTATTTCTTCACAATCTCTTACGTCTTCAAAGTTTTTTTCTAACAAATTATCCATTCCTTCAAACAAAGCTATATGTAAATATCTTATCAACGTATTATGAAATGAAAGCCTGCTATCTAATCTATATAAAGGTGCTAAAGAAAACTTGTATTCAATCTTTTTCTCCCAATATATTAAAAATATGTTAAAATCTCCAAGTAGTTCACCTCGTATTTCATTATCAATAACATCTAACTGGAACAAAATTTCGACAATGAAAGATCTCCTAGAAAAATCTTTATTACATAAAACGTGTGCTAGTAAAAGCTTAAATATTTTATGCCTCGATATTGAAAACATAAAAAGCAAAATCGCATTTAACTCTTTACCTTCGACTTCCTCCGATTTTTCGATTAATTCTCTAAAGTTGCCATCTTGACCTTGTTCAGGAATAGAAACCCTTTCGATCCATTCTAGACATTTGTAGATTTCAATATGACCAATTGATAAATATCCATCATGAAGACCCTCGCTTAATTCTGTCCTTTTTTTGGCCTCTTCCCTCTCTTCAGGTGACTTTTCCTGGAAAAGTGCCAAAGTTTTTTTTCCTGACACTATCACATCAACTAAGTTTTTAATATAAAATAAATTAACGAAATTAAAATTAGTTAAAAATTTATATAACATCGCATTTTTGTCATTAAATTCACGTTTTAAATATTTTTTAAGCAACGTCTTAAAGTCAAAGTAATTTAAATCTATATCAAATACAAATTTAAAAGACGCAATAACTCCATCAAATCTTATGTCCAAATTACCTCCAAAATGAAGATCCATTAATTGTCCATCCCATTCATCATTTTTATTCCTAGTCCTAGCTACTAAGCTTATCCCATCAAACACATATCCTTTAAAATAGTATTTTGGTTTTGATTCCCCACTTGACAACTCTTCTAATGCAAATATTATTTTTTTCTGCACATCTTCTTTGCGTAGGTGATTTTGGTTATCTTTTGTAGTATAAATAAAAACACTATCAACATCAAAAGACTTTAAAAAACCATGAATAGAAGTTCCAATTTCGGTTGTTAATATATCCTCAGTGTAAACAATTTTTAAAATCTGTACTTTCCCTCCAATTTCCCGTGATTCAACATCCGGATGATAGCACATTATAAATTTATCACGAATTTCTACACATACATACAAATTTCTCGAAAGTTTTTTAAGTCGAAAATATTCCTTATGTTCTAACTGAGTTTCTACAAATGAACACAACTGTATAAAAATATTCTCTGACTCTCCAGTACTAGTACTAGCCTCTTGATGAGCACAACAAAACAGTTGTAGAAAAATCGATAGCATGATAGGGGAGAATTTTTTTTCTTTTTATGCTTAATATTTAATTTAATTTATATTAAAAATTACACTTTGTATTTCTGTATAAATGATTTTAATATAAAACAAACAAAAATTATTAGCTTTAATTCTTAAATTTTAATAAAGAGATTAATTTGTATTAAATTTGTGATTAAAATACCGTTATTTCTATAAACATTTTTTTTGATGTTTTTAAAATAAACATGATTTTATTAATTTTTATTTATAATCCTTTATTATAATCAAATCAATTATTGGTAATTATATTTGATTCATCTCATTTTTCATAAATTTAAAAATAATTTAAATGTAGAAAATTTTTATATATAAAAATAATAAACATTCTTTAAAATCCAATATCTGTACCAGAATAAATTTAATAAAATTATATTTTTTACAAAAATATATTACGTTTTATATTTGTATAACTTTTATCTTTATTTTGATAAATTCTATTTTTAATTAAATTAAAGTTGTAAACTATTTAGATTTTAAAGACAGGAGTTTAACAATAACGAAAACATTTAGGGATGATAAAGAAAATAATAAGAGCTAAGCAAATTTAATCGTTGCTGTAATAAAAATTAAATATTTAAAAATTTCGTTTTCAATTTTATGGAATTCACAAATATGTGTTAGTTTTTAATAGCATATAGTGTAATAAAAAGCTAAAAACGAACTATTAATATCTAAGTAATGACAAGCTAAATTTAATTAAATTGTTTTTAAATAATTTGGTTTAAAATTTTTATCAAGAAAATTATTAAAATATCTCAATTATTTAATAAAATAGAAATTGCAATACAAATATTTTTTTTATTAGTTATTATTGCTAGATTTATTTTACTTATTTTTAAGAAATAGATCTCTTAATATCGTATTTACTTATTTAAAGATTATCTATGCATTAGAAGTTAAGTAGATTAATAACTTTTTTATAAATTTCTATATTTAAGCTTGTAATGCTCTTTTAATGTTTTTAAACTTAATTTTTATATTGGTAGCACAATGTTACAAATATAAATGAGCTTTATACGGCTGAACAGAATTTTGTTCCTCGTTTAAAAGCAATAATTATCAACATTGCAATAAGTAATAATGATAAGTCATGTTTGCAAACTGGAAAAAATTACTTACTTTAAACATTTAAAGTAGCGTGCACGCATGGCGATAAAATTTATGAACAAAGTTTAGAAAATTTATCCTTTGATGAAATGATGTTACAAACACCAATTTTTTTGTACAAAAATTTAGGGATTGATAATAGATTGTTATTTATTAAAAAAATTTATACATAGGAATATCTTGTTGACATAACCACGTTAAAAATAGTTTTCATAAATGTTTAACATAACTCGTTTATTGATTTTGTCGTTCACATGCCAGTTAGTCTTTCGGTTGTGGTGTTGCTTTTTAAAATTTCCTGTCTTTTGATTGTTTAGCTTCTTCATCCTTTAAAGTTTTATTTCTCAAATATTTGTTCTGACAAACTGTTTGAATTTAACCAAAAGCTGTAGCGTGGTATCCGTATTAAACATGAGAGATATCACACTGATCTTCTATTTTTTTAGTTTTACTATTGTAATGACGCCTAATTTTATTTGTATATAAATATACTATACGCATTATTCATTTTTTATTAAAATAATTTTAATTTATCGTTTAAAAATATAATCAAATGGGGTAGTTAGATTTTTAATAAAATTTAAAATATATTAAAAAAAATTTAAAATAACATTTAAGAATTAACATTATTAAAAAATAAAAATTTTCTCCGTAGTTCAAATATCTAAATTTAATAAAACTTATATCAAAAAAAACATAAAAAATAGAAAATAATTTAATTTTAAACAAATAAAAAAAATTTTAATCATTGTAGTATTATTTACCACATGTGATTATTTTTAATTTATTTTGCTATAAAAATTTATTTTTTTTTTTACTTATCAGAATTACATAAAAGAAGAAACATTTTTTAATAAATTATTTTACTCAAAACATCTTCAGTGGTGTAAATCATAATCGTAATTGCACATTTTTAAAAGAAAATTTAGCACAAAATAACAATATTAATAACATTTTACATGAAAATTTTTCAAAAAATTTATAAAATGCACCAGAATTAGGAAATTTGCACTGTTTTCTTTTTTTAACCTATAAAGACAAAAAATTTAAAAATAGAAATAGTAAAATTAATCCAAAATATTTATTTTTTTAGTAATTTCATGAAGGAATAAAAAGAAAATAAAGGAGCTGAAAAAAAATTAATAAACTACCTATAGCAACACCTACCAATGCAGACAAGTATCTAAAAACCAAGAAATCAATTCCAGAAGCAGAAACTCTACACCCTTTTGAAAACACAAAAGCTTCATTGGTCGTTGAACTAATATGAGCAAACTTATCTAAAGGGAACTGGCCGAGAAAAACTTACGGGTCATCTTGGCACGATGGAATCAAATGCCAAGAGGAGACTGAGAGAAGACAATCTCGGTGTGTAATGACAAGTTTAACACTAAAATCTCTTAAGTCATTTTTAAGAAGAAGCAAAAGCAGCACTTACAAACAAAGCAAGAAGTCTTACTAGAGTAAGACAATTAAAAGAAGAATCATATGTGAAGAGAATGAAGTATCTAGTTAAAATTTGCAAAGCCATATCACTAATGGAGGCAGTTGAACAAGAGGGAATAAAATCAGAAATTAAGGAAATGTTTGAAGTTATAAGAAAACAAGGGCCTTAAGAAATTTAACCAACAAAAAAAATAAGCTCTCTAAAGATTGATACTTAAATTGTAAAAATGTAAAGCGAGTCCATCGACACATTTATATGGCACCATAAAACTGAAAATATGTCCAACATTGCCCTAATATTACAAACTGCAGAGCATACGTATACTAAAGTTACTCGAAAGTCCAAAAAACCAATCAAATGGGAAGAATCAATAAAAGAAAAAATTAACAAATTCTCGAAACATGAAGAAAACTTAAAGACCTACAAAAGCAACAAAGAGAAGATGTCGAAAGAAAATCCAACACAAATCAAAAGATTGGCGCGAACAGAAAAGATTGCATTAAATAAAGTCAAAGATATAGACAAGTTATTAGCGTTTCTAGACACATACATATTGGTATATAACCAAAAAAAATTACAAGCTACAAGAAAAAAAAGAGTGGATGAGAAAGAATACGTTATTTGAACTATACAGAGGTCGATACTACAGGATGCTAAAAGAGAACCATCTGCATAACACAAAGTTGGCAGAGAGGAAATTACGAAATTCTGGGGGAAAATGTGGGAAAGTACAGGTGAGAAAGATTATGGAGGAAATATTCAACACAAAAAAAATATTCAAGAGTTTTATTTAAACACGGATAAAGACTAAGTTTTACAGACTACAAAAAAATTACCGAAGTAGTTCAAAAGCTCTCGTGCTAGAAAGCAGCAGGCCCGGACATTATTTACGATTATTTTATCAAAAATATATAGGTTTTACACTTACAAATATGTAAAATAATCAGAAGTATATGTGTAGACGGAAAAGGACTGGTTTTATATGGAAATAACTTATATCATTCCGAAAGGAACCCCAACACCAAGAAAATACTTTAGATTAATAACATGCATGTCTAACTCATACAAGCTTACAATGAAGTGTCCCACAACTGTAATCCAAAATCTTGTAGAAAGCAAAGGAATACTATCTGAAAATCAAGTCGGACAGTGCGAAAAGTACAGGGGTAAAAGAAAAAGCACCAACAAACGTATCAATCAATAAAGCGCACAACTAAAATCAAAAATATCATGTTTGGGAGTAAAAAGCATTTGACTCTGTCTGCCAAAAATATCTTCTAAAGTGTATCGAAACATTAGGAATGTTCCCCTGGATAACAAGCTTCCTAAAATCAATAATCTTGAAATGGAATTTAAGGTTAAGAGTAAATAATGATGTTGTATTAAATAAAAGGATGAATAGAGGTGTATTTCAAGGAGATGGCTTATTGCCTCTAATATTTGTTTTGTGCCTAGTCCCTCTTAGCAAAAGATTAAATGGTTTATATCCTAAAATAGAAGTGAGTACAAGAGAAAGAAACTTACCTTTGTAACCACTTGTTGTTCATAGATGACCCAGAACTGTTTGCAGAGTCTGAAAGAGCTTTAAGAAGCATGATGGACGAAACAAAAAAATTCTGAAAGCTGTCAGCTCTGAGATTAACAGAGACAAATAGGAGGCATGCAAAGACAAAACCAAGCTATTTTAAACCCACGAAGGATACAAATATTTATGACTTACAGAAAGCCGATCGTGTTATCTACTAGTAAAAGATAATAACAAAATAATAAGCATAATAGTATTAGATAAATTCGATGTACTATTATGTAACACGCCATCAAATGCAAAAAATTTTATTACAGCTATTAACCAACACACATTATCACTTATAAACCATTGCGTCATCGGAATATTAGATGTAAAGCCAAATACATACAGCGAAGTAGACAAGAGAATCAAAGTTATACTAAATACGTATCACACGCGTCAGCAACTTGCATGCAAAAAACGGCTATATTTTTTTCCTAGGAAGGAAATAGGCAGAGGACTATTAAATATTGAACAAAACAATGAAAAAATGCTGTTAGCATTATCCAATGTTTTTAAATCAATAAAGAAAATATGTATTTGAAGAAAAATAATCTTAAAAACAGGAATTAAAAATATTACACATTTCTTAAGAAAAATAATTTTTTAAAAGTGAAGTACAGCCACAACGTAAAAATGTTAGACTTTACCGAGCTAAACAAGATGCATCGAATATCTCTATACAGTAATATTAAACAAAAATATAACTACTTAAAACTGCATGCATCAATGAAGACCCCAACATAGCAATTGATGAATCGGCCAATTGGCTCATTCACGGCAATATTTTCTCAAAAGAAGAGGGGTCACTATGCACATTGCTAGACAGAAACATTTTATAGAGAAAGGAAGCACGTTCACGTTACAACAGAAAACAAAGACAGTAGACCTATTGCATGCAAAATAGTGCGAGAGAATTCTGTAACACAACTACTTGAAAAGGCATGACGAAGCCTCAAGAAGCATATATATGCAAATGTGCATTAAGTATGAATTTACAAAGTTGAATAAATTTGAAATTACTTGGTACAAAAGTGTATTTTAAATTAAAAAAATGGAAATGTTGGTAGATACATGAGTAATTTACTCTTTAAAGCTAAAATATAATTAACCTGACATATTTATAATTGATAAAGTAAAAAAGAAATTATTATTATCAAAATAGGAATAAACTTCTTTACAAGTTGTGAATTGTTGAAATTGAGAAAGATAAAATTACAATTTGCTAACTAATCATTTAAAATCCGTGTACAAAAATAAGGTAAGAATATTTCCATGCGTGATGAGACCATGGGTGGTGTAGTAACTAAGTATCACAAAAGTTATAGAAAAGATAGTTGATTAGACCACTAAGTTGAAGCATATATAAATTTTTAAAATATCAAAAAAGAATAGAGAGCCTGACGCTTGAATCTAGACATAGAATTCAGACTTATGAAGAGGAAACTTTAGAATGTACTCAAAAAACCACAGGAGATGAAATCCTAGTTAAAAAAAGGATATTGTTCTTGTCTATAAAAGTAAAAAAATGCAGAAAAGCTTTTATCTAAATAAAATAGCATTTAAAATTTTAAGATAAATGTTCTTTCTTTATTTAAAAATCTTTTTATTTCAAACAATCTGTTCATAAGTGTTGCTTTAGTTTGACAAATTGACTTACTTCAATTCAATTAATTGATAAAATTCATCACAAAAGGTTTTCTTTCGTTTTTCTAAAAATTTAAGCCTAATTGATAAACCGGATAATAAAAAAAAATCTTTTAAGCACTAGTTACAGACTTGTTATCGATATTTATTTAAACCCCTTTTATAGCTTTAACTTTTGACAAATCATAATAACTTTTAAGTAATTTGCATCGTATGCCTTTGTTATTTTTACATTCATCTATAAAAACTTTAAATTCATATAATAAAGAAAAGGCAGTGAAGAATAAAATTTTGAAATTAGTTTGAAATTTCGCTATTGGTTTAACAATTTTAGCAAATTTAAAATCTCCAAAAATTTCCCAAATCAAATTTGGTTCTTTATTCGTATTAAAAGCAATAAACCAATTTATTTCTGATACATCCAAAATTTCTAGACAGACAAGTAATTTTAGACAAAAAAATATTTTTTGCATTAAGTTCTGAAAACAGCAATTTTTCAAGTAAAATATTAAAGATTTGTTTATCAGAAAAAGAAGATATTGAAAATAGCAAAATTTTACATCACCAATGGGTATAGATGATATTGAATCTATTGAGTTTTCAAAATAGAGATAAATTTGCATCGAAATTTCATAAAAATTTTTTTTAAGTAAATGAAGCGTCCCATTGATGTTTTTTTCCTCTCCCTCGTCATCTCGTATAAATCATAAAGTGTTGAATAAAGCAAATTACAATAACGTTCTTTGTATTTCAGAGATAATTTTAAAAATACTATCAGACATATTATAGAAGTAAAAAAGTTGATTTACGGTAAAATTGACCAAAAATTTATAGATTGCGTGCCAATATTCTTTATAATATAATAATATCTATTTTTGCAAAAACAAATAGCAATTTATACGGTTTAGAAAATTTTAAAGAAAGGTTATGTTTATTTGAGAAGTTCCGTGAAAGTCTTTGTGAAGGCTTCTTGTTGATCTTATTGTCCATCTTTTCTTTGTGGGTAAAAATCCTATTTATAGTTTTTACTCAATTAAAGATTACATAAACAAACAATATAAGAAAGCAGTATATTAAAGTTAAGCTAAAAGGAAAGCAAAAAGACTCATCTACATTGAATACTCACTTGTTCGTTTAATCACACAAGAATTGATTCAACAAACAGTGACTGATGGTCATGTGTCAGTTGCGTCATGACACAATTAAAACTTTATAAACTAACTGTGAATACGTAACCAGTTCTATTATTTGTTGTTATGCGAAGATTAAAAACTTTTTTAATTCGTTTGTAATTTGCTATTTTAAACCAAAAAGCATTATTACAACGAAATTTTAATGAAAAGAATGAATGTCGTAATTACAATCATTATAGATAAAAATTGGGCCAGTTTGTTATTTAGAAAAGTAATTAAGTTGTTCAGGTAATGTTTTACATTCGTCCATATCTGTACTGGAAATAATCTCAAGATAATAAGTGTATTTAGTAACTCTTCAATATTAAAACTTTTAAAAAATAAAAAAATATCTAACAATTCTGGTTCTGTGACAGCTTTTTCGTCTATTTGATAAGAAAGTATATTTTCAATTGTACATGATTCATATATATGACAAATCTTAAAACCTATATTTATATCATTTACTCGAAAAACAAAACCATTTAAAACTGTGTTATAAGATTACATGTAAAATAAATTTTCTAAAATTTTTTAAATATAAATATTTTATCCCTAAAAAAAAAGGGGTTTATGAAAATATTTAGTAACAAAATAAAGGATAATTACAAGAATAACAATGACCAGAAGAGAGGATTATTTTATGTTGGAACAAGGGCGCCATTAATAAAAAATTTTTTGGAACTATATTTTAAGCTGCTTTTTATTTTTTAGTAGTAATCTCAAAAACTTTAGCAGCACCTTAAAATGTACTATAATCTCTTGATTTAATTTTAAAATAAACTATAATGTTGATTTATTTATTAATATCTTTTGCTATCGTAATATCTGTCGGTATATTACTGGGTTAAATTAATTTGTAAATTATAATTAAAATAATAAACATTTAATGGGTAATTAAAAAAAAATTTTAATTGTTTTTTTGCCATCAATAATATTCATGAAAATAAAAATGCATATTGTGGTATACTACCACATTTGATTATAGTTTCAAAACAATTTATAGTTTATTTTTAATAAAATTTCAATTTTTTTAGCATCAGAATATTTGAAAAAATTCATTTTTTAATTACATTTAATATAAATAAAAAATTCCCAAAAAAAGGGCACTCATGAATTAAAAATTATTTAATATTACAAACTATACCTTTAACCACAATGACAACGGGCCAATAGCAATAGTATTTTAAACAAAGAATACCTACCGCTTCTAGCATTCTAAAAATACATTTCAAGTTCAATTCCCTCCCACGAGGGTACATCAATTATATTCTTAATTTAATAGTAAGTTATAGTTATCATTTTTAATATATACATTCACATATCTGATATCCATTATTCCAAGTTTCTTAACTATATAGTATAAATTATCATCTGAAATAATGTCTTCACCAAATGTTGGCATAAAAGAAAATTTTTTTTGCTGTATTAAAGTAAACATTTCCAAAATTTATGTTTACTCTGTGCTTACTAACCGAAAGTAAAATAACAGCAATATCTAATTCAAAATTATATAACATATAATTCTTATAATTTAACTCTTTACTAGTCTTATTATATGCCTATTCAAAAAAGTATAAGTTAACATATTCTTCCATAAATACTGAAAGAATATTTGTAAATAATAGAGTTTTTAAAAGAATATAACTATTTTTGAGGACAAATTGATTCTTAAACATTTAAATAGATAAAAAAAATGATGTATATCTGGAGGAATATCTTTATTACTACACCAATTTCATTTATTTTCTTTATTTGTTTTTAATTTATTCTTTGTTAATATCATTGCGTACTATGAGTAATGTTTGTGTCAAACAAATGAAACTATAAAAGAAAAAATTGAACAAACAAATATCAATTCAAGGTATCACCAAGGAGGCAGCAGTCTTAGACCATCACGACCATACACCAATAAATCTTCTTTACATAAAACTTTTACCAATATATTACCCATGGGACTACAGGAACAGGCCCTAGAACCTTAAGTCTGCTTGAGACTTATCTCGCCACTGCCTGCATTCCTGACGAATACCCCAATATCAAAAACCAAAATAATTTTTTTTTCTAAGTATGGAAAAGAATGAGTAGAATTAATAAAAATAATTTAATATGTCTAAAAAAGTACAGATTTAAGATTTTATACAAGTACTAGCTTGCGCTATCCCGTTGAAAACAGGATGATCACAAATTTGGTGCGTGTTCTTTCTTTTTAATGTATTTGATGTTCCTTTATGTATGTACTTATTTTATTGTTTTTAATTACAAATTGCCCTTTTTATAAAATTAAAATTTGCTATAGGCACCTTGTATAAGTTGTATAAGATTAATATAACTAAATAAAAGCAAGGGGAAATGGACAAAAATATTGTTCCGTACTTAGAAGAATAAATTCTTAATGGTGCTGCTCATTATTAATAAAAAATACAAAGAATTTTAAAAATTTTTAAAAAAGAAGGGTTAAAAAATAAAAAAATGTTCAAATTCAAACCTTTTTTATATATACTGACTAGCCTACGCTGTCCCGTTTAAAACGGGACCCAAATTCGATACATACTTTCTTTGTTTAAATTATGTGTTTATGTCTTTGATTATGTATGTATCGTTATAAATTTGATAATTGTATTTTTTAAATAAATAAATAAATTCAGTAATGGCGCACATTTTACAATTTGAACAATTGAATGAAACTTAAAAAAATAAATTAAAATATTAAGCTGTCCATTATAAAAATAGCTATAAAAAAATGTTATTTCTTTAAAAAACATTTCTCATAATTTTTAAAAAAGAAGGGTTAAAAAATAAATAAATGTTCAGATTCAAACTTTTTATATATATAGAAGACAAGTTTGGTAGTTATCCTTCATGGCAAGACAAAAATCTACAGTTTTATAAATTAAAATTATTTAATTAAACTTTTAACGCAGTTCTCTAAAGTCTCGGGATTGTCAATATTTAATATTTGAAACATTTTCTTAGCTTCTACTTTATTAAAGTAAACACGCTCTTCTCCTATGCTGTATCTAACGTCTAAATTGGTTAATAATGCTATACTTTCAAATAATTGTGGCAATGTTTTTTTCCCTGACGCAATTATAAATCGTAAATTTTCAAGTAAGATGCTATAAAAATCATATAACGTTTTATTATTCAGACATAAATATAAATCAGAGAACTTTTGTAGATCGTTAAAAAATTCAATATTAATAACATCATCCTTTTTATAAATACTAAAATATTCCTCAGCTTCTTTATAAATAAGAGTGTATAACAAATTATTAATTTCTTCACTCTCCGCCGTCATCACAAAATGAATCTTAGAAAGTTTTTCTTTAGTAAAAAAATTTTCCAGAAAAATAATTATTCGGAATCGTTTATCATCATTTAGATTT